CTCTCTCTCTCTCTCTCTCTCATTCACACAGCAAGATCACAATGCTTGTGACATGGGTCGATTATAATTCAGCTTACTCGGGGCTAGGCCCAATCCACGGAGCCAGCAGCGAAGTCCTTAGTCTCTTCTTGCGCAATGCGCCTTTCGTACGTCCTCCTTGCCTCGTGCATCCCAAAGCTGACTGCAGCGATGGCCACGAGAAAGACCAGATCGCCAAACGCGAGCCCCGTCGTTTGGAACACCCCCTGCAGAGGCGGGAAGTACACCATAGCCATCTGTGCGACGAGTGAGATGCTGACGGTGATGCCGAGCATCCTATTGGCCGTAAGCGGGGTATGCAGGCCGCGGTTCTGCACGGCCGACACCAGGTCGAGCAGCACAAAGCACGTGAACGTCATGGTCGAGTCGCGCTGGTCCGCCACCTTTCCCCCTGCTGGTGCCTCAATATCCGCAGGAACCAGCTCGTGCACGTACACGTACAGCGTCCCCAGCACCACCATGGTCGCACTGAACGCAATGCGGTACAGCAACCTCGTGTTGAGCACAGGCGCATTCTTCGCACGAGGCGGCCGGGCCATGACGCTCTTCCTGTCCACCGGATCCACGCCGAGCGACTGACTCGGCGGTCCATCCATGAGGATGTTGATGAACAGAATCTGCATCGCGTTCAGCGGAAGCTTCAGCCGGAACGCCGTGCTGAGCGTAATCAGCGTCAGCGCTGCAACGGCCGTGGAGAGCTGGAACGAGAGGAAATTCTGGATGTTGTAAAAGATGCCCTTGCCCTCTTCGACGGCGGCGAGGATGGTGGCGAAGTTGTCGTCGACTAGGATCACGTCCGCCGCCTCCTTGGCCACATCGGTTCCGCCTTTACCCATGCTGATGCCGATGTCGGCCATCTTGAGGGCGGGCGCGTCGTTGACGCCGTCGCCCGTCATGGCCACCACGGCTCCGTTGGCCTGGAAGGCGGCGATGATCGCCATCTTGTGCCGCGGCGTGGTGCGCGCAAACACCGACACCGACGCGATGCGCTCCTGCAGCTGACGCTCGGTAAGTGCGTCGATCTGACGCCCGGTAAGCACGCCCGGAATCGACGCCGACGAGGCCGAGGTGGTGCTGCTGCTCGTGGGGGAGAGGATGCCGAGTTGACGCGCCATGGCGACCGCGGTGGCCTCGGCGTCACCGGTGATCATGACCACCTGCACGCCACCGCGGGCGAGCGAAGCGATGGCGTCCTTGACACCGGGCCGCGGTGGATCCTGCATGGCCTGCAGACCGGCAAAGGTCAAGGTGCGCGCATCGAGGCTGCCGCTGGGGCCAGAGGCGAAGCCGACGACGCGAAGGCCTTGGCTCGAAAGCTTGTCGGCCGCCTGCTGGAATTTGGTGCGCCACGCTTCGTCGAGCCGCACGGGCGAGCCATCCGCGCCGAGCACGGTGGTGCACTTGTCCATGACCACCTCGTACGCGCCCTTGACGTACACGGTCTCTGCGGCGCCCACGCCCGCTGTCGACAGCACGCCGGTGACCGCCATGAACTTGGTCTCCGAGTCAAATGCGACCTCGGAACTCCTGCGGAAGTAGGGTCTTTGGTCCTCGAGGCCGAAGGTGCGGAGGATGTTGACGAGCGCCACGTCGGTCGCCTGGCCCACGTTGGTGCCGAGCTCGTTGCGATGCGAG